AATTTTAAGTTAAATTGTTTCATAAATTGTAATGTGCTACCTAAAACATAATAATAAAAAATAAAAACATATCCAAAGTGTATAAAAAACATGTATAAAGATTGTGTAAAAAACAGAGATTTTGTATTCAAAGTTTTAATAAAATTAAATTTCAAATATTAGCCAAATATATTCAATAACTGAGTAAATTCAAATAATTACTTAACACAAAGTATGGTTTTGTTATTGATTATTTACTTTGATGAGATTAATTGTTTAAGAATAAAATATACCTTGACATTGAAACTTACATTATTGCGTTTTAATTAAATACCTTATTTGTCCATTTATGTCATCGTCATATTTAAAATTACAATCATTTTATGAAACAATAAATAAACATCTTATTATTATTAATTATATTTCAACAACAACAAGAAAACTTTGTTTGTTTGGTTGTAATAAAACTTTAAAACTACTTTTCCGATTTAAAAAAGTATTTCATTACTAAAAAGCTACGTTGTCAGTGAGTAACATAGGCTGTTTTATAATATTTTTTAATTTCACGCAGATGGAGTCGCGGGTGAAAGCTAGTCCATTATAAAATTTTGTAAGAAAAAAAAGTTCTATAAATGAAATAAGCAATTTCCACGAAGGATCTGATTTTCGCAAATATATTCGTACTTTAGACTTCATTTTAAAAACAAATAAAAGAGTTGCCATCTCTGATTTTAAAGAGATATAATTCGCAATACAAATTAGTATAAATGTTGCTACCTTGAAAATCGACGTTATTAAATGACCAATTATCCCAACGTGAAACTTTTCGAATTTTAAAAAATCTATAAATAGCGTTCCAAGCATTCACTTTCGTTTTTTTTTACTCACTCGTATAAAATATTGTCCTACGTAAGCGCGTTATACAGTGGGACTCGACTGCGGTGAATCTTATATGAAGAAATATTCCTGTCTTTGTTTTGCCAATGAGAATGAAAGAGACAGAAATATCTATTAATGTAAATGTCACTGCAAAGAAGTTCTACGATTAACAATGCGTCAGACAACGCACAACACAAACTTTAAAAAAATATAGACGAATTAATAGCCTCGTTTTGGAAGTCAGTTAAAAACAGAACTTGACATTTTCGCATTCACCGCTTACGTAGAATAACGCATATCACATATTTAAACAATTTAAAAAAGTTTAGCTATGCAATGTCACATAAAATGTCTAATTTTAGTCCCTTTTCCTATCCACCCTTTTCTTAAGAGGAAAGGATGAGAAGGAAAAGTGGATTTGACGGTGGAGAAGACGCTTTAAATGGGGTAATATCCTATTTATGTCTCCTCTTCCGCGATTAAGAGTAGGCAACGTATCTACACTTGCGGTATCTTTGGGCAGCGATCACTTCGCCATTTCGGCGGATTCAGGTGGCCGCTTGCTCGTTTGCCTCATTCGTTTAAGCGAAACAAAAACATTGCAAGTTAATTATTTAACTAATAATAATTATTTTGACTAATAACAAAATAAAGGCTTTATCCAAAGTGTAGGTTAGATGAATACTAATTAAAATTGTAAACAACCACTAAATAGCAAGGACGAGATTATATTTAATCATCTTAAAAACAGGATAAAAGATAAGACCGAATTAAAATATTAACGAGATTGGGTATTAGGTATACAATAAAAATAAACGAATTTGTCCAGCGCTGCTTTTATAACACAGAAAAGAAAAAAACAAATATTTTTTTTGTTCTTATCTTAATTTCGAATATTCTAAAAGTTATTTAAATTCTGTAAATTATTGCTCAATAAATGTATACATTAATAGATTTGTTAGCTATCTTAATAAATTGTAATAACACTTATATAAATAGGTATTGTGATAAAGAAACGTGTTGGATGAATTAGAAACCTTCAAAACTATAAAAGGCAATAGCAGCCAACTACAGAACATTTAAACCTGTGATGATGCCTAAAGAATTGTTGAAATCAAATTTTGGTTAACGAAAAGCGCGTTTTTTTGACTAAACTATCGCACAACTGTTTAGTCGTGCGATAGTTTAGTCCTATTAGTTTATATAGTGCGCCCCCTACTCGATTTTTAGTTGTGCGACTAAAACAGTTGAATGTGATGCGAAGCAATCGACAAGCGCACTATAGTTGTGCTAGAGTTTACTCTACTATGAGCGTCACTAGAGGGCGTTGCTCCCCCTTCGTTTCACTATTTTAGCGAATTCAAACGGCCGCTTATACATTTGCCACATAACGAAAAAAACAATGGAACTGCATAGATACAAATATATACATACTAGAGAAACATACTGTACTCATTTTACTCCTGTAAGTTGGACAAATGAATAAATATCATCAGTGGTCGATCATATTCATCATACAAAAAAATGGAGCACAGTCATTCAAATAAAATTATTTACCAAAAACGTATCATTCAAAACAAATGAACATTGACAGTTGCTTACCATAAATGATTCTTTTGATTTTATTTAAATCATACTAACATTATAAATGCGAAAGTTTAGATGGATGGATGTTTGTTAGAGTTTGTAACCTAAGCGGCTGAACGGATTTCGATGAAATTTGGCATAGATGTAGAGGATAGTTTGGAAAAACACATAGTCTACTCACTGTTTCTTTTTAATTCCATGCAGACGGAGTGGGGGCGAGAGCTATTTCTAAAATAATTTGCATTTAATACATCATGTTCATAACATGTCGATCGTCATTCATAATTAAAATATAATTGAACGTAATGCACGGCATATTTTAAATGTAAGAAATTTCATACTGCCTTATTAACATCAATTTGCGACCTTCATGGTTAAACACCTCAAAGTAAACAAAAAAGTAGAGACGTAATTATTGACTCTCCTTTTAAGAGAAATAACTTTGATGTAAGACACTTCGAAATATTTTTTATTACTTTCATCAGTATAGCATATTTATAGACAAAAATATCATGGAAGCCAAGTAAATAAAATATTAAATTATTGCAATTGACAGATGGTGAATTTCTATCGATATAATGATTTTTAACTGACTTGAATGATTTAAATTAATACCTGGGTAGGGTTGGTACATTTCTGGCTGGGTCGCGGAAGATTGCGCAAGCGTTCAAGTGACCCAGCCACTGGCGGATAGAAGGAACACCGCTGGGTTTTTAGTGGGTATTCCGGACATTTTTCATATTCTTGGCCGGCGAGTCCCACATACCCCCCCCTGGTAACGGGGGGAGGGGGATGCGTAAATGCATTTTCCCAGCGAAAAAAAAAGGGTTGGTACATTTAGATCTGAACTCCATAGCCAGTGGCGATCGTAAACACAGATACAACACAAAACAAAGACTTACATGGACGAAACTAGATTAAGGCGCTCTATGCGCTGCCATCTCAATGTTCAAGTTCAATGCCTAACAACAAGTGAACCGTTACTCTTTTTTATTTAGTTTTTTTGTATTAATAAGTACTTAGTATTGTATAAAAATGATCGACAATAATTATTGTCCTTATTTGACTTTTACTACAAGTTGTTTAATATCTCGAAGTAAATATCAACACAATAATTAAAATACAATTACAATAATATTTTGTGTAAGTTTTAAAATGAATTTTGGATATTTACATATGTGCTTGCTTTAGCGTCAATATTTTCAGCATAAACACGCAGGTCGCAAATAAAATCCAACTCTGCTGTTTAGTTTCGAAAATAGTAAAAATTCAATTTTGATTTGTTTTATAAATAACTTTAAAATCTAAGTATAACTTCTTGTTGGCATTGAAGGGCAAGTCGCGAAGTGAACGCCGTTACTATTATGGGCAATGTGTGTCGACAATACAAATTAATAAAATTCTTTAGAGGACAGAATATTTCAAATATAATCAAAATACAATCTAACGCATTAAAAATAATCAAAGTGAAAATATCTTTTCAAAAATCAACAAAACATAAATATGTGTATCAGTCGTAAAGCTAAATAATTTTAAATGAAAATAAATAAAATTGATTAATATTTTAACATTAAATAAGACAGCAAACACAATAACAAACAAAAGGGTTACAAAGCAAAACTAAAACTAAAAAACCCTACGGTTTTGACAACAGAAAATATATGTCATCTTCACTTCAATCCCAAAATTAGTACAATAGTACGCAATTAGATTAAAAAGCAGTTATATGTAGGTATAATTTAAAACTTTAACTATAATATAATAAGACCCAATATACCGTGCACTAGTTGGAGACTGCAAATATTTGTCTGTGTATGATGAACATTAAACGCTAATCAACTAACGCCATCTACAGTTGTTAAGAGCGACCACTTAAAACAGTTAGTGTTATTTGAAAGTCAAATAAATTATCAGATTACGCTGATATCCTGCAGTGATATTACTACTGTTTATACAATAGTAAGTAGTTGTAAGACTTGAATGTTAATACAATAATAATACTTAATTGACGCAAATCAGATTATTTGCGTCATAAGTAACCCTGGTAATGCAAATGTGTAGAATCGCTGCAAGTCAATTTTTCACGATACACTGGCCCACACGGATTCCGTAGACATAGACGTCAGTTACTAAATTAGAATAAATAATGATATAAATTAAAAAAAATCAGTAATCAGATCAATTTAAAGTCTCTTGGCGTCATTTATTTTCTATTACTATTATAGTTCACTTTAACGCTTTTAATTCAAAAAAAAATGTTTTTATTTTCATGGTCAGCATCACGATACAACACTCTACAGTTTAAAATTGAAGAAGTTAGCTTTTTAAATGAATGTCAAGTCTAAATAGCAGGACAATTATCACATTTCTATAACAATTATGAATAACCGCTATTGCCAAACTGTACTTAAGACCTTCGACTTATTTCGAACTGTGACGATCATAATTCCTTTTATTTCCTTGAAATTAAACAAATCTGGTTTTAGTAAACTGAAACAAGGACTAAAAATGTCGTCTATATAATGTGAAACTTTACAAAGCAGTTATCAGTCTCAGAAATATAACAACTCGGTTAACATTTAAACTTACATTAACGTAAATAAGGAGTACAGTGTTGGTAAAATGTATCTTCTGTTAGTAATTTTGTGCTGTGCAGTGTTTGAAGGATATGCTTCCAATGGTATTGTATATTTACTACTGTGAAAATTCATAATGATCTTAAGCGATAATTAAATAACAAAAGTATTCGATTGTAGAATTTTGTTAATGAAATCGGAAATATAAATAATGTAGTATATGGAAAGTACAAAGATTATAAATAATTGAATGAAGTCTAATTATCAAAATCATCTTAATTATTGTTACTTTACGTCCTGTCGATACGATAATAGAAACATGTTATAAACATACGTTATTATAAGTTGTGTGGTTCTGTCGCAAGAAGTGGAATGAAAATGTGATTTCTTTTAACTATTCTCTTTGTATTCACATCCATCCATCAAAAATGTTTAAGTGCATAGATTTTAATTGTCAATTTGAGTGCAATAATCGAATCATTGTTAATTGAAAATTCAGAAAATATTTCTCAAACATACGACTATTATGAAATTAATCAGGTATCTCGGAAACGGTTTTATATTGTAATTTGCATAGTCATTTACTAGTACAGTAATAATTTCAAAGAATTAAATAATTAAACAGATGAAACTAATCTCTGTCAGAAATCATTTTTTTTTTTCATAAACATAAGGAGATAATAAAAAAAAATTATTAGAATAGTACTTTAATTCTTTTTTCTAGTACCCTTGGCTCAGCCATGCCTGCTGGGTGATTCAGAATGCCTTATCAAGACAAACACACGAATTGCTCTCTCTAGAATCGGTTATGGATTGCCCGAATTCGGAATTAGATCTTTAGAACCAATGACGTTGAGAAACATTACGATGGGTGCAGATGGTTTTAGATTAGTCTTCAGAGAAATGAATATAGCTGGTGCTTCTAGATGTAACATTGAAGATATACAGTAAGTACTAAAGTATAAGTCTAAACTCCATGATGATACTTAGCAGAATGATAGGTGCAAATGTGACGTCAATCACAAACATAAACCAACGCAACATGAATTTATTTGTAAAAGTAGTTACACAAAAACTATCCAAATACTAAAATAATATAAAGAGGATTTTGTTATTCGGAAAAATTAATTTTAAGGATAATTACGTTTGATCTGTAATCAGTACATCTATTAAGGTGCCATAAGTTCGAATCTGAAATAAACAAGCTCGTCTCCTTGTCCATTTTAATTTTTTGTTTAAAATCATTTGTATTAACGACCGGTTTCTTTACAGATTAAATTTCGTACACTCTACTATGTCCGTAACTTTAGAATGTCCACTGGAAGCTACTGGTACATTTAAAATGTCTGGAAGTATTTGTTTCTTTGACGTCAATCATGAAGGAAATTACATTGTCAAAACAGGTACTAAAATACACTTTATTTTTGTTTTATGCGAACTAAAAATAGTGCAATGACCTCATTTTTTTTCAGATTCCATTAGGACTACAATTAATTCCAAAATCGATACTATTTATGGCGCTGATGGCCACAGATATTGGAAATTGACGGCGACGGATTATTCTTACGAGCCTCTAGAAAACCTTCACATCGGTCTGGGAAGGCTGTTCGTAGGGGAAGTCACTAGAGGTAATATAAAAATAGCTCATTATTAAAATGTATTTTTTAACTTCATTCATTCAATGGTAAACTAAAAGCGGGCGCACTATTAACTAAACTATTCTTCATTCTGGCTGCGAAACAATCGACAATCGCACAACTGTTGTGCGATTGTCGATTGTTTCAATGTATTTTATTCTTATTCTAATGAGATATTTCTTCCAGCCTCACCCCTGTACAACGTAGTGAGCAACAACTGGTGGCCGCTAGTGTCTCGAGTCGCCGAGCCTGCTGTTAGCGCTGCAGTCGCTCGCTTCCACGAAGTTCTTCAAAAATTCTTCCTTCGCGTACCTCTCGAACATCTGTCCAAATAATTACGAATTAAGATGTTTATGTCTACTATTCGAATTCCTGCTAAGATTTTGTTTCCTTTTTAATTATAGTTAAATGTTCTTTCATGTCGAAATAAATTTTACTACTATGAATAATATTAAATCTAATGAATTTAATTTAATGTAATTTTTATTGCAATGCACACACTAAATACTGTTAAGTTGATTAACGTATTCACATTGTAGTCACAGAACTACAAAAAAAAAATCAAATTATAGTCATTTCAGTCTTCTTACGTTATCTTATTATATTCTAAAATATAAAAATATAGCTTTAACCTACATATTTATATTTTTTAATATAAAAAACACAACCATACTACTATTCAGTGACACAAAACGTTCTATCATTAAAACACTATTATACTAACAAAGGCTTTTAAAATATCTGTAATCAAGACAGCTTTTTGAATCAACAAAATGCCGAATTTTCCTCGAATGTTTCATGAATTATTAATTTACAAAACAAAATGTAGTGACAAAGATCTTACAGAACAAGAATTAGAGGTTAGGATGTCAGATAATAAAGGGACGAAAAAATCACTGGCTTAATCTTAAGAAACCACATGCAAATTTATATTTAAAAAACATCCAATTCAACCATGTTATTGGTGGCGTTTAAAATTAAAAATAGCCTACGGGTTCGATGAATCCCACATTATAGAAAACGAAATTCACACTAAGTACGGGCAAAGGTCAACTTTTTTTAATAATACAACAAAGTAAATACAAATCAATTTAAATAAGCGACGATCTTTTGAATTATGATCCCAGTTAGATTAACGACAATCTGCTTTCATTTTAAAATCGTAATCGTATGGAAAATCTGACGCTGGTAACCAATTTAACATCTATCGCTTAATAATCCACTGACACAACAAAAAGTCGTAGTGAGTCATCTCACCTGATTTTATTTTTATCTCCTTTATCCTTTTTCTTAGCCTAGCAATACCGAAAACACCAACCTTTGATTTTAACTAGGGTTGTAACGGAACTTCGCTTCCGAATCCGCAAGCGCGGAACTTCCGCAAGAAATGATAACTACGGATCCACTTCCGTTATTTCTTATGCGGAATTATAACGGAGGATAATTTAGGTCTTTAACGCGAGTGGGGCGATTAGGTATCGTTTATGCGGCCTGGGCGGGCGTAATAAGTCAAGTAACTACAATTGTTATCTATACTATAAAGCGTAAACAGTAAACACACACTTCTTTGTTGTCTAAGATGTCAGCAATTACAGCTAATTTTTGAATAAATCTTTTTTTAATTAAAAGCCCTACCATTAAACTTAGGGGGTAAATATTTTCGATAAAAACCTTAATGTGGGAAAGAGACCATAAGTTATTGCCAACATCAAGGCTGCAAGATTACCAAGGTTTGTAATGTCATGTCATTTTGACATTTGCTATTGATCATTTGACAAATGTAAACAATAAAATAAAATTTTCATAACTCCATGCGGATGAAGCCGCACGGGAACAACTAGTACAATATATTTGCATAATAAACTGTATCTTGTAATTAGTTATGTACCAATCTGTATTTTGAATTAACGTGGTTTTAGTTTTTATTTCATTCACGAATTTTCATCGCAATTGACATTTTATAGTGACCTTCGCTTCCGCTTGCGTTAACCTCCGGTTCCGCAGAAGTGAAGCCCTTCGCCTCCGCATCCGAATCCGCTCCTGTTACAACCCTAATTTTAACATACAAAAATCATACATGATATGTATTCTTTTGTATGTCTTATGAAGCATATTTTTTTTAATTAAACGATAAATATATAAAATGTTTTGTTTTTATTACTTTTTTAAGAAGGCGAAAAATTGCTGCCCTTTAAAAATATTAACAAAATCAAATTAAAGGGCAGTGATTCCAATGTTAATGTTGGTTATTGTTTAAGTAATACATTGTTTTTGTTGTTAATAAATTAATATTTTTATTTTATAACAAGGAAATGTTCATTTATTTAATAAGTAAGTTAATACGTAACAGAGTTTTGTACAAGAAACAAATAAAACTACAAAATAATTTTCATATAATAATTTTGAATTAATTTTGAATGAAAATAAAGTTGAATGTTTATTATTTCACGTACTTGAAAACGTCTCGTACTATTACAGAAGTACTATGATACATAATTATCACGTATGTATATGTCCCCACTAAGTTAGGGTGACAAGGCCATAGTCAACCACGCTGGCCAAGTGCGTTTTGACTTCACACATATCTTTGAATTTTTTCGGCGATATGTGCAGGTTATATCACGATGTTTTGCTTTGCCTTAAGAACATCGAGTAAATTATACATGTGAAAATTCGAAAAATCGAAATTCACACTAGTGCATGGCGGGATTCGAACCCAAGACCTATAGATTACTAGTCAAGTGCTCTAACCACTGAGCCACCGAATCTCTTTAATGCGTCATAATATGCCTGTTTTAACTAAACTTCCTTGACAGGTCCTTCCCGATAATTTCTCGTCTCCCCGGGCGCGGAATATGCATAAAACGTTCTCCTCTATTAGAAAGAGGATGACGATAATTCTATCCTTCTCTCGGATACCATTTATCGCCAATTTTCTTTTTGAGTATAAAATAGTTTTTAAATTACTAAGATGTTTTGATTAATGACCTCTATTCCTATAGATGCACATTCATAGGGTAGCTTGTACATAATTTACAACAATATACACTTAAACTCTTCAAATTGATTTACATTTTATTAAGGTTCATCATCATCATCAACTTGCCCTTTTCGCTTCATCAGCCGTCATATCTGAATCCACTCCCTTTCACACAATCCATACATACTTTCTTTGGTCTACAATATAAAATCAATGTCCATATTTTAATGGTCAATCCCCTTTGAAAAAAAACACTCGCTACACAAATGCATAATTGTTTACATTTCTTGTTAAATATCACTTCCGACAGGGAAGTACAGTCTTGTCACTCTATTGGTCCCATCCAACTTACAGTATAATGATGTTTTCAAGATCCCATGTTAAAATACTGGTTTTATCACACAGATTGGCTTATTTTCAAATCTGGTTTTGTCAAATCTATCGTTTTAATAATGAAAATTGCCGACTATATAATAGAAAACTTTGTAGAGCGTTTGTCAGTCGAACAAGGATCGTAATTAACGTAACATATCTGTGGCAATAACTTTGGGTTAATTTCTAAAATGTTTAAATTAATCTCTTTGTTATTTGTTGGAGTTTTAGCACAGAAAGGATACGCTTTGGGTATGATTTTTTCATATTAATGCATAATCCAGAGAAAATTGTACATAAAATAGATTAAATAGGCTTTGAATAACTACCGAAGGGATGGTAGAAATTTTGTCTTTCAAGAAAGCTTGAATACTGAAATAATTTGAATATTAGTAGTTGATTTTAACAGTAATAAAGCTGATGGATTAACAAATAAATTTGAGAATTATATTTTTACAATTATACTTTTTAAATTACCATTTGATTTTAAAAATTGAGATGATTCGAAAATTTATATAGAGGAGGAATATATTTTTTTTTTCAAATTTTCAATATTTTTCAAGAATTACATACGTTAAAAAAATTATTAAGCCTGAATTCTAGTGTTTTATATTACTCAGTAGCGATGATGAGTAAATGCTTAGACTTTAGTTGATATGTCTTTATATTTCCACCAACTTTTTCAATGGATTTTATTTAACTAAAACCTACAAATACAAATATTTTATTAGTAAAAGTCATTTTTTACAGATTAAACTATCCCCCTATCACAATATCATAAGTTGATCAACCAAAAACTTTAAAGATTAAAATTAATCCAGTACCATCGCCACCTCAGTCTATTAAGGCCCATTCACACGATGCGAGTATTTTTCAAAATAAAAGCAATAATTATCTTAGTTTAGTCTTGCATCGTGCAACGATCAAGAAACTCGCATCCTGTAAATGGGTCTTTAAGCGGTTCAATTACATTGTGAAAAATTTTCACATATAATTTTTTCACAATACGTTTTTTATTTCATTTTATTTTATTTCATTTTGCACATTATATTATTTTTTGATTATTACATTAATAAATGACGCGATAAGCTTTCATTTTGGCAAAATTACGTAAACTAATGTACAAATGTAAAAAAATCGATGTAGTTCTAGAAGAAATGCATAAAGATTTAATCCAAAAAGTTACTTTGATCGTAAACTATAGTCAAATTTTCACATATAAACGACCAATTGTAAAAAAGTAAATTAAAGAGATAAATAAAAAAATAGGTTTAAAATACATAAATAAAATCTAGCATATCATTTTGTCAAATCTCACAATTTAAATGTTACCTTTTCAAAATACAACCATTTGAATAATATTAAAATTATCTTAAACTAACTATATGCGTCATCGTATTAATTTTAATCTCCTTAAATCCAATGGTAATTAAAGTGACCGCATAAATATCTGTCAGCCGTGACCGTGAGTGCTGCAGTTTGCACATTAGCGTGATTTCCATTGCAGAAATACTTATTGTTATCTACATACTCGCGATTAGAAATTTAAATCATAAGATTAGAAGCAATTAAATATACAAATGTAATTTACATAAACGAATGACAACGTTGTTTTTTAGTATTAAGGATAAAAAAATTTATACTCGATAATTCAAATACATGACTTGAGTTAATCTTATTTTAATTAAATAATTGCATAATTATACTGTTCTACATCTAGGGGTTAGTTAGGGGAGCATATGTTCGTAGGGGTGGATTTAAAAGATGGATGATTTGCTCAAAAATATCACTAGCGTGAAACTACAGTGCAACTAGTAGAAAATAGAAACTAGCCGTATCAAATCTACTTAAGCCTACAAGGCATGAGAATTAATTAAATCACTGGCCATCAACCGCGTCTTTTATCGCGTAGAGGTTGTATTTTCAAAAAATATAAATTAGTTTACTTAATTATTTGTACTGAAAAGTACGTCAATTTTAAAGTAATTCTGCTAAATAAATAATACCTCTCCATAAAATTATAACACTATAATTTAGACCTTTAGGAGATGAATTTCGAACAAACCCTTCTTGGTGCTCGCCTTCGTAGTAGCAGACTTCTATATGTAAAAATACAAGTCTTTAGTTCCAAGAGTTTTGGCTGTGATACATAAGTCAGACAATCAGTTTACTCTTTCATATTATAACTGCCTGCGACTACGACTGCATAATTAAAAAATAGTAATTTAATCTTCCAGACTATTCTCTACATCTATGCCAAAATTTCATCGAGATCCGTTCAGCAGTTTAGGCTACAAACTCTAACAAACATCTGCCTACACTTCCGCATTTATAATATTAAGTAAGAAGTAAGATTGACATTTCAGGACAGTACGTTCCGTTCTGCGCACCGGGAGACTCCGAATGCTTCATCGTCGCAAACATTCGGCACGCTATCTCACAAAGCGGAAATGGATTACCTCAGCTTGGAATCAATTCTATAGAAACCATGTCGTTTAAGAATGTAACTTTGAGTCAAGGGCTCTTTAACTTTGTATTCCCACGCATGAAAGTACTGGGCTCTAAAGACTGTATTCTTGAAGACATGGAGTAAGTTAAAATTATTTTTGACAAAGATCAGAAATCACATGAAGTTTATCTCATCAAGAAGTTACTTTATGAATAACGTGGATTAAAAATCTACTATTAAATTATTCAGCTCAAAATATTATGACATTTTATACAAATTATTTTCTGTTTTTGCATCTATTTGATTACTTATGATCTCTTAGAAATTGATGCAGTCGATAAATCGATTCATTAAATACTAGCTGTTGCCCGCGACTCTGTCCGTGTGGAATTAAAAAACAAAAGTAAGTAGCCTATGTGTTCTTCCAGACTATCCTCTACATCTATGTCAAATTTCATTGAGATCCGTACAGCCGTTTAGGCTTCAAACTCTAACAATCTAACTAATCATTCGCATTTATAACATTTACTTAGTAAAAATTTGGATTATTTACTTACAGTTTGAGTTTTGCGCAATCGACAATGTCATTAACTTTAGAGTGTCCGATGAAAATAACTGGAAAATACAAGTTTAGCGGAAATATATACTTCTACGAAACCAGCCAAGAAGGAAATTATGTTATCAAGACAGGTAATATTCACTAACAATTAATAATTGACTAAAACCCAATTTTATGGTCATAAATTATTGTGCGTTTTTTGGTACTTCGCTCACTCTACGCCTACGTCACATTTGAGATAAATACTAAAGAATTTTATACCTGGCTTGGTATTTCTAATATTCAGAACGATTAACTACAATCAACAATCCATTCTGAACACAGCCATTTTAATAGTAACAAAATAAAAAATGCTTTTACAAAATGTTATCAGATTTTAGTGTTCAATTCCATTCTGTTTAATTGCGCAATTATTGTTCTTATTAAATGAAATATATTTCTTTACATAATTTAATATTAAAGGTAAAAGTAACTGAATAACATTTTATTTTAACGTCTTGTTTCGATAATTAGCGTCAAACACGTAAAAACAATTGAAGATTTCATTTTTGTAAGAATTGTCCTATTGTTTGTTTTTTATTTCATTTAGACAACATGAGAACAACCATTAACTTCAAAATCGACACAATTCGTGGTGCCGACAGCAAGCGTTACTGGAAACTGAATGTCTTGGAATACGTGTACGAGCCTCAAGAAGTACTTCGCATACAACTCGAAAACCTCTTCACTGGCGAAGTTACCAAAGGTACTTTACTCTAAACCTTCAAAGATGCTTCACAAGAGAAAGATATGTCTTAGAGGAGGCGATTTACTCGGATGTATCAGATTGTGCTGTAAAAAATCTACAAAAAACGTACTAAGCAGAGTCTGTATCATGTTTTCACTCCGTACCATTCATAGTCATTGTTGAACTATACTTACTCCGCTGGCATCAACCCATAGTGAGTGTTCTACTCAGACACAAGAAAACACTAGCAGCCTGTCCTGTCATCTCCTGTCAGTAAACTGCTTGCAAATCTCGGGCTATACTGTGTAATATTTAAAATGTTTTTGTATAATCTACATTCTTGGATTAATCCTTTCAGAAACACCATTCTTTAGCCCGTCAACTGGAGACTGGTGGCCAACAGCTGCCAAGACCGTTGAGCCATTGGTCAGCGCAACCGTCGGTGGTTTCCACGGATTCCTCGATGCATTCTTCCAACGTGTACCACTTGAACAGCTCTCCTCACAGATATTGCCGAGACAGACGTACAAGGCACGTGTACCTTCTTTCTCCAACCTAGAGTGCTTTAGTTTTAATTCAGTGTCGGATCTGCTGTAATTATCAATACCATAATTAATTTTACTGTAATCGATTTTATGCCCTTTTGTAATAAAGGTATCTAGTTATTAATGGAAATTTGTTTTTTTTTCTGGTATAAGATGTATGACGAACTTTTTTTTATTTAATACGCCGTACAACAATAATAGCGACAAGCCGTTGCTGTCAAAAATTAAACCTTTCCTTACTTATATTCCCTTAACGTGTATAGAAATCTGATAAAATTTACTGTCGATCTCAAAAATTATTAAATCAAACAAAGTGAAAAATAACTTGAGAAGTGTCCTTATCATGATCACCAGCTCTCTATATGACCCTGAGTGGGTTCGGAGCCTACCCCAAATAAGATGTGATCGTTCACTTCATAATATATTCCAATATATCCTTTTAATTAAATTAATTTTTGTGTAAATTACATTACATATAGATTTCTTATTCAAATTACGATGTACTTTTTACAATTACTAATAAAACACTCTTATAATTTATGAAATATCTGTTATCACAACTATAAAAATTGTTTATTGTGTTTCATGAATAGCTAGTTGATTGTGAACATTTAACTTAGGAAGTTCATATACTTAACAAGTAGATTACAGGTTCCCTTATAAACTGTATTGCTACGAAAATTACGCTACGATATGGCGAATAAAAGATATTCAGCAAATTAAAACGCTATTTCTTTAATTTCAACGAGATCCGTTCATCCGTTTAAGCTACAAACCCATTTTTTCCCAACCTGCCGTCCATGGATCACCAGTAGTCCGCAGGAGTCGAAATATGGTCGGCGAATGACTTTATATTTAGCGAGTGAGTGACCTGTTGGTCGCCATACAATGAGTGAGAAGAGTGCCGGTGAATGAGTGGATTACAATAAAATCTATAACGTTAAGCCTAGCACAAAAGATGCGAGAACATTTTCTTGAGATGGAAAACACTTGTATGAGATTTTTGCAGCGCCACTATCGGGCAGAAAAGTAACTAAAAACTGTTTTAATGCATCTCACATTTTACATAGTAATTTCTACTAACAAAAATAATATAACAGTGGTCCCCGGCCAAGAGAAGGTTGGGAACCCCTGCTTTATACAAATAGCTTTAGAATCCTACAAATTTTGGAAAAAAACTGTTTTCGTATTATACCAAAATACTATTTCTACTTACGATATAAAATTGCAACACATTTTCACAGCGACTTTAGTATTTTCACATATTTTTTTTATTACAATTGTATAATATTCTGAGTTGCCAGTACGACTACCTTAGTAATATATACTATACAACAAGGAGTGTGTACGTCGTATTACGTATATGGTACGTCGAAATTCTACAAACAGTGGCTATATGATGATATCAAGAATTTATAAGCGATGATCAAAATATAATATGTGCAACATAGAAAGAGAAAAAATTTCCGGCGTTACCCACGTACTGCTTTCTTATTTGCAATATGCAATCAGTAACTCACATAAATTATTGAAAGCTGACTAGTATTATGATTTATATTTTTGAAGCTAACACTCTCACCTAATTGTAACGTGTCCACTTCTCCACACAACTGCTGCTGTACTTATAATCCAAAATACATGTATGGTACGAGCGGTTTTTTCAAAACTTCAAGGCGACTTTCGCCGTTGTATGAGGCCGGTTAGACCGGCGCTGTATGTCTCGCTTATAAAATCAAAATTATTTTTTATAGCATTTTTAATGTTATTTTTGATATCCAAACACCAAAACTCTTTTACAAGTATGTATGGTAGAAAGATAAATAAATTGGTGATTCGACCACGCCTCTTATACCGGGTCAGATAGGTTTGTTGCACTATAACATAGTATTGCAAAGTTACAAAATCGAAGGTTTGTAATACTTATACATAATGTAAAACCAAAGTCACTTTTTTTAATTACAAAAAAAGTAGTTTTGCGGTTTTGAGTGACCGCCAACTGTAATCGACAATTCCTCTGAATGTCGTGTAATGTATCGTAGTAAGAAATTGTGAAGATGGAGGTTGTACAAAAGAGGAAGATTAAGATATGAAGCCCATAGAAGCTTTGGTACATTAAACTTTTGAGAAAAAAGGCAAAAAGTAACGTGTAATAATGCATTCACTTCTCAACGATCTTGAGACAACGATACTGGCAGTATTCAATAGCAACGTCGACCTTACATCATTTGAGAGAACTGTTTGGTTCTTCATCCACGAAATGTTTGAGGAATGTAGGCACTAGCACATGACGTGACGTCATACAAATAAGAGAGAGACCTTTTGAGTTCTAGTTATTTTAGTCATTGCCGTTCGGATTTTTTTTCTTAAGTTTTATTTTTAAATCTGGTTTTATATTATATGCTGTGACAATGTAAAAAACAAATCGTCGACTATATATTGTAAAACTCTGTACATTGTCCATCAGTCGCATAACAACCGGACTATAAGATTTTTTCAGTGTGCTATTTGGAAAATTTAATTATGATCACGATCAGCTTACTATTGGTGGCTAGTTGTTTGGTGTCTGAAGGATATACTTCCATAGGTAAAGTACACATTCCTATGTTTCATTATATTAAATGATCATACACAACACTCTTGGAATATCGGTTCTAACAGAACTGACGTCTTTTAATTCAGCGGAAAACCACAGTGGATGCTGAAATTCAGATCAATATCAACTAGGAATATTGTGCGTTAAATTTCATACATTTGGTTTCTCAAATACTGTATTACTAAAAGGTCCTAGTGCAAAAGAGATTTCTATTTTCATTTTCATTTGGTATGGTATATCGTCGTTCTACGAAATCAAAAGCCCACTGTTGCTACACCTTCTGTGTGTCAACTCTCTAATATAACAATACTGTTTTTTTTTTAAATAGAATGTTATGTCATAATACTTTTTGTCTACGACTGGACTTTAATGAATCGGAAGTTATTTCATTCATATTTTCTGGAGTCTCATTATACGTTTGTTTTTAAATGTTAATTTAATTAAAAATAATTGATCGTTACTTTCTTATTACAGCGCCATTCTCGTGTGTTCCTGGTGATTCCGAGTGCTTCATCAAAGCAAACACACGCGTCGCGCTCTCCTACTTGGGCGATGGCATCCCCGAACTCGGCGTCGACTCCTTGGAGCCAATGTACTTGAGAAATATCACCATGGATCAAGGATACTTTAAATTGGTATTCCCAAATATGAAGTTAGTAGGCGCTAAGAACTGCAAGATTGATGATATACAGTAAGTGCATATTTTTTAATATTATAAATGCGAAAGTTTAGATGGATGGATGTTTGTTAGAGTTTGTAGTCTAAGCGGCTGAACGGATTTCGATGAAATTTGGCATAGACATAGAGATTGGTCTGGAAGAACACATTGGCAACTTAGTTTTGTTTTTTTATTAATTCCGCGGACGGAGTCGCAGGCGAAAGCTAGTTTAACATATTTTATTGAGAAAAGTTAAAGGTACAAAATCAAAAATTTACTTCCTTAACCTAGTGATCTGGCTCGATTCGCGATGACTTGAAGAATTTCACCTACTTTGTTTTTTCCGGCATCCTAATCATCAAGGGCAACGCATATATCGATCGATGACCTTTATTCTTCTTCAAATAATTTTACTTGAAAAATGTTGTTACTTCAAGATTCGTTGATATTGAAATGTTTTTTTTTTTACTCGTTTAATCAACAGGTTAAGTTTTGCGCAGTCTACTATTTCTGTAACATATGACTGTCCGTTTGAATCTACTGGCAAATACAAGTTCAGCGGAAAAATGTTCTTCTTCGACGTCAACCACTCAGGAGATTATGTTGTTAAATCAGGTACTGCAAAAAATGCTACCAATTTCAATACACTTTACATTTATAATACAAAACATAAATCTTCTAATATTCAAATTCTCAGTCATATGTAATTAAAAATCAACTCTAAAGATACGTTATATAATTTAGTAAGCAAAATAATTACACAACTAAATGTGAAATCGAAAAGGATAGATCTGCAAAAAATAAAATGGTATGAAAAATAATGAAATGGAATATAAAAATAATGAACAGTAATGAAAATATTGCGATATTTCAGATTGCTTCAGAACAACGATCGTCTCAAAGATCGATACAATCTACGGATCTGACGGCAACCGTTATTGGAACTTAGTCGCTTCTAACTACTTCTTCGAGCCCGTGGAACCACTCCACATTGACCTCGGAAAATTCTACGTTGGTGAAATAACCAAAGGTATGATAAATGTCGAAAAATTTTTGTGTGTATGTCACGACGAATTGTAATACATACACACATGTAAACTGTCTGACACGGTTGCACGTCAGACAGTTTGTCAGCGTCATAAATGAAATGAAAAGGGAATAACTGGCTTAAGTACCAATTCTTCATGTCTCTGTTTTATGAACTCCTGGTACTTCCCCATCCGAGTCCGCATACAGTGGGGTAAGGGATAAGATAATCATATTTGGCATTTTCCCTACAAAGAAGATCACTTGGGCAACAACTTTTATTGTTGTTTATCTTTATATTTTGCTGCTCTACTTTTGTTAAAGTGATCTAAATTTTATTCTTCAGAATCTCCGTTCTTCACTGTCGCAAGCAATAGATGGTGGCCGATGGTGGCCAAAATGTCTGAGCCGACCCTAACCGCTGCAGTCGAACGTTTCCATAGCGTTCTTAAATCGTTCTTCCTCCGCATGCCTCTAGAGGAACTTTCTAAGTAAATTATATTAAAAAAATTAAATAACTAATTTTAAAACATCAGTTACATTTTTCTTTCATTTAGTGTATTATAGCATCCTACAATATTTTTGTTTTTCATAAATCGAATGTAAAGACAGATAGTAATAAAAAATGTTTTGTATTACATTGTTTTATTGTTATAAATATTATAACAAAAGTTGCTTTTCTCGACTCGTCAACTAAACAATTCTTTAACATATGCTTGTCTTTTTTTTCTAAGTAAATGGATATAGCCGTCTGTTTTCGCGAACAAAAACTATTAATAAAAAAATATATTCGTAGTAGGAACCAATGTGATGTTTACGTTTAAGTAATATTTCTGCTTTTGATTTTGATTCAGTTCTGCTTATACAAGTATAAAAAAATTAAAACGGAAATAAGAATTTTTTATCTTTAAAATTAATAAAGTTAATGTAAAAATGACAGCTAAATGTTACTCTTCTAGTATTTGCTGTTTACTTATTTTCTATAGATCTGTTTGCCAGTCGGCACGTAAGTAAAGGCAAGTATATTTCTGACTTAACATACGTCATACCTTACAGTACCTATATGTACAATATACCAAATGTCTATGTACATGCATAATTATTCATTCAATAATAGCTCGTTGACATTTGCTGCAGTGAATGCTGTTACACAAAATAAGTGAATGTTAACATAATTTAAATACAATATCTACAGAAACGAAAAAAAAACTAAAATCAAAACGTCCTGTACAAACAAGTAATCATTTTTTTGTTAATTTTGAAAATAACTACTTACTTTGCAGTAATCGATTTTTGTTCCATTTTAGACATTTGTGACGATGACTTATATAAAAGCGTAAAGTCGTTTTTTTTTGACCGACTTCCCAAAAGAAGGAGGTATTCAATTCGACGGTATATTTTTTTTTTTTTTTTTTTTTTTTTTTTTTTTTTTTTTTTTT